CAAGAGAATCGCCTAAGCCCAGGAGTTGGAGGTTGCTGTGAGCTGTGATGCCATGGCACCCTACCAAGGGTGACAAAGTGAGACTCTGTCTCTAAAATAAATAAATAAATAAGTCTCAATAGATTTTAATAGATAGAATTATATTCTATTGTATATTCTATTATACAAAGAATTCTGTGTGACCTCAATGGGATAAAATTAGCATAAATAACAGAAGGAAATCTGGAAAATTCACATATATGCAGAAATTAAATAACACAGTCTTATTTTATTTTTATTATTATTTTTTGTACCGAGTTTCACTTTATCGCCCACAGCAGAGTGCCATGGTGTCATACAGCTCATGGCAACCTCCAACTCCTGGGCTTAGGCAATTCTCTTGCCTCAGCCTCCCGAGTAGCTGGGACTACAGGCGCCTGCCACAATGCCCAGCTATTTTTTTGTTGTAGTTTGGCCGGGGCTGGGTTTGAACCCACCACCCTCAGTATATTGGGCTCCTGCCCACTGAGCCACAGGTGCTACCCGAAATAAAATAACATACTCTTAAACAACCAATGAGTCAAAGAAAAAGAATCAGAGGGAAATTAGAAAATGCTTAAGAGAGGAATGAAAATAAAAACACATAAACCAGGCCTGATGGATTATACCTGTAATCCTAGCACTTTGGGAGGCTGAGGCAGGGTAGGAGGATAGCATGAGGTCAGGAGCTCAAGCCTTAGCAACATAGTGAGACCCTGTCTCCACACATACACATATACAAACATGGAAGAACACAAAATTTACTAGGAATAGTAGTGTTTTCTTTTAGTCCCAGTTACTTAGGAGATTGAGGCAGGATTTCTTTTTTTTTGCAGTTTTTGGATGGGGCTGGGTTTGAACCTGCTACCTCCGGCATATGGGGCTGGCGCCCTACTCCTTTGAGCCACAGGCGCTGCCCTGAGGCAGGATTTCTTGAGCCCAGGATTTTGAGGATGCTATTCCTCTCCCTCTGAGGAATAGAGGGAGACCTTGTCTTGAAAATAAAAAAAAGCTGAACCCCCACCAAATACCAACATATATAAGATACAATAAAAACAATGCTCAAAGGGAAATTTAGGAAATTTATAGCTATAAATATGTATATTAGTATATTAAAAAACACAAATCTCACATAAATAACCTAACTTTATACTTTTTTTTTTTTTTTTTTTTTTTTGAGACAGAGCCTCAAGCTGTCCCCCTGGGCAGAGTGCTGTGGCATTACAGCTCACAGCAACCTCCAACTCCTGGGCTCAAGCGAGTCTCCTGCCTCCGCCTCCCAAGTAGCTGGGACCACAGGCGCCCGCCACAACGCCCGGCTATTTTTTGGTTGCAGCCGTCATTGTTGTTTGGCGGGTCCGGGCTGGGGATTTGAACCCGCCACCTTAGGTGTACGTGGCTGGCGCCTTAGCCGGTTGAGCTATAGGCGCTGAGCCCCTAACTTTATACTTTATGGAACTAGGAAAAGAAGAGGAACCTAGGCTTGGTGCCTATAAGCTCAGTGGTTAGGGTACCGGCCATATGCACTGGGGCTGGTGGGTTCGAACCCAGCCAGAGCCTGCTAAACAACAATGACAACTATAACAACAACAGCAAAAATAGCTGGGCATTGTGGTGGGTGCCTGTAGTCCCAGCTACTTGGGAGGCTGAGGCAAGAAAATAGCTTAAGTCCCAGAATTTGAGGTTGCTGTGAGCTATGACGCCACCCTACTGAGGGTGACATAGTGAGATTCTGTCTCAAAAAAAAGAAAAGAGAAATCTAAAGCCAAAATTAGGAGAAAGAAAGAAATAATGATTGGAGCAGAGATAAAATAGAGAGCAAAAAAGCAATAAAAAACCCCCAATGAAACCAAAGTTGGTTTTTGAACCAAGAAGAATAAGCCTGAGCAAGAGTAAGACCCCACCTCTACCAAAAAAAGAAAAGAAAAAATTAGCTGGGTGTGATGGTAGGTGCCTATTATAGCCTAGCTACTTGGGAAGCTGAGGCAGGAGGATCGCTTGAGCCCAGGAATTTGAGGTTGCTGTGAGCTGTGACGCCACACTACTGAGGCAACAGAGACTCTGCTTCAGAAAGAAGAAGAAAATAACAACTGTTGGGGCTGGGCGCGGTGGCTCACACCTGTAATCCTAGCACTCTGGGAGGCTGAGGCAGGTGGAATGCTTGAACTCATGAGTTCCAGACCAGCCTGAGCAAAAGCGAGACCCCACCTTTACTGAAAATAGAAAAACTGAGGCAAAAGGATCACTTAAGCCTGAGTTGGAGGTTATTGTGAACTATGATGCCACGACACTTTACCCAGGGCAACAGCTTGAGATTCTGTCTCAAAAAAAAAAAAAAAGAAAGAAAGAAAGAAAGAAAAAGAAAATAACAACTACTGACCAGGATGTGGAGAAATTGTAATCCAATGCCCATTTGGGTATATATGCAAAAGAACTGAAAGCAGGAACTTGAATGGATATTTGTATACGTATACTGGTGTTCCTAGCAGCATTATTCACAATAGCCAAAAGGTGGAAACAAGGCAGGTGCCCACCAACAGGTGAATGATTAAACAAAAGGGGTATATACATACAATGGAATATTATTCAGCCATTATTCAGCCATTTTGTTCAGGAACAAAATTTTGATATATACTGCAACATTAATGAATGTTGAAAACATGCTTAGTGAATAAGCCAGACACAGTAAAGAGGAATGTTGTATGATTCCACTTAAATGAATAAGCAAATTTATAGAGACAGAAAGTAAAATAGAGAATGCTAGAGACTGAAGGGAGAGAGGAAAAGGGAATTACTGTTTAAAGGGTCCAGAGATTTTATGGGTGAAGATAAGAAAGCTTTGGGTATAGTATAGATACACGTGATAGTTACGAAACATTACAAATATATTTAATGTTAGTGAATTATACACTTATAAATGACTAAAATAATGAATGTTATGTATCTTTTACCACAGTAAAACATGTTCATCATTAATTTACCACATGAAGCAGCTATCTACTTCTAGCTATATACCAAAGGAAAAATATATCCAGACAAAAACTTGCTCACAAATGTTCACAGTAGCATTATTCATAGTAGCCAAATACTCATCAACTGATGAATGGATAAACAAATGTGGTATATCATACAATGAAATATTATTTGGCAATAAAGACTCCAGTTAAAACTAGGAAATTTGGGCTCGGCGCCTATAGCTCAACTGGCTAAGGCGCCAGCCACGTACATCTAAGGTGGCGGGTTCAAATCCCCAGCCCGGACCCGCCAAACAACAATGATGGCTGCAACCAAAAAATAGCCGGGCGTGGTGGCGGGTGCCTGTGGTCCCAGCTACTTGGAAGGCGGAGGCAGGAGACTCGCTTGAGCCCAGGAGTTGGAGGTTGCTGTGAGCTGTGATGCCACGGCACTCTACCCAGGGGGACAGCTTGAGGCTCTGTCTCTCAAAAAAAAAAAAAAACTAGGAAATTTGAATAACACTAGTGGATTGTTATCAATGTCAATACTATGGTTGTCATCTTGAAGATGTTAAAAAAGTTTCTTATGAAGAACACTCTTAAAGAGCTTCCAAGGTGAGGTGGCAGAAGGTAAGGTGAAGCTTTGGAAAACTTTAGGTATTGATTAACTATGCTTTTTTCCCCCTTTTTTTGTAGCAGAGTCTTATCTGTTGCCTGGGCTACAGTGCAGTGGCATCAGCTTAGCTCACCACGACTTCAAATTTCTGAGCTTAAGCCATCCTCCTGCCTCAGCCTCCCATGTAGCTGGGACTACAGGCATGTGCCACCATACTTGGCTAATATTTCTACTTTTTGTAGCAATGGGGTCTCTACATGTTGCTCACGCTGGTCTTGAACTCTTGGCGTCAGGTGATACTTCCACCTCAGCCTCTCAAACTGCTAGGATTACAGGCATGAGCCACCATGCCCACTGATAGACCATGCTTTTTATGTCCTTCACTAGCATTGTTAAATAATGAACTGTATATATTTTACCTAGCACAATGAATTTCTGTATTTCTATTCCCAAACTTATGGGTAGGATAAAAATACAAAGTGTAGAATTTGTGAATTGTTTTCAGGCATTTTACCAGTGAGTAGCTCTATCCATGTTTGGACAGTTTCTGTGGGTTCAGTTGCTTTGATGTGTTTGAGAGTTTCATCCAGTAAAACGTCACCAGTTGGGATGTCTGACTTTAGCAGTACCTTTGAGGTAAGAAGAAAGAAGGGACCTTGATTCACCTCAAATTAAAAATATTTTCATATATCATATAGACATTACTGATAAGTGTTGTAGGAAATGTAAACAAAAATAATATACTATCCCTGTCCTCAAGAAATTTAAAATTTAATATGGGTGAAGTAGGCTCTAGTGACAAAGTAGCTATGAATGATAATGGAGAATATATAGTGATAACTTTCTCAATCTGGAGAACAAACTTTTGAAGCCATTAGAAAGACAGGAAGCCAGTTTTGGGGAAAGGTTTTTAAGTTTGTTTCTAACTGATACAGGACAGCTCAGGTGAAATGTCTAGTATAATAATTAAATAAGTTCCTGGAGGTGGAAAAAAAAGCATACCTGGAAATTTGGGAGTTAATCGCATGGAGCTGACAAACGAAGCTAGAAAGGTAAATTATATCTCCAAAAGGATAGAAAAGCGATCTAAACTGAGACTGGAAAGTTAAGGAATGGAGAAGTAAATGAAATAGGGTACGGTTAGAGAAGCATGAGGATATGATACTACAAAGCCAAGAAAAGAGAATAGTTCAAGTGCAAGGAGGTAATCAAAAGTATCAACTGCCATGTATAAGTTAAAGGAGAAAAATAAACTGAAGACTGAAAAGGAGCTAGTTATAACTAAGGATGTAGTTTCAGTACAGTAGTTAGGATGACATAAAAGTTATGAACAAAACTGGTAAGAAAACAGATGCAGAAGTATATTTAGAGAGGAGTTGGAAGAAGAGAAACTGAATAGTTATTAAAGAATAACCAGGATTAATCAAAGAATGACCCACAAGATTACCTATTAATACTCTACTTTTAATATAGCTATGGATATACAGGGAGTTTAATCAATAGCATCTTAAATGTAATTCTTCTGCATAAAAAATGATAAAACCCTGGGCTTCCTATAATTCTTTAGACTATGGATACTTGAACTTCTGTCTCTGCTATAGGATAATTAAACCTGTTTAGACAATGGGACAGCTGAGTCAGTGATATTTATCTTGTCTCACTACTCAAATCTTTCCATTCTTCTAAAATGTACTGTTGCTATTTGCCTTTCCATAAATTAAGAGGATGTTCATTAGAAGATGCTGTACCTTTCTGTCTAGCAGTCGCTTCTTACGCATGGTGGGGGGTTCCAGATAAATTCTGCCCCTCATGGCCAGCTCTATCAGGATGCCCCCTCTCAGGCCCGATGATATGCAGTCATTCCAGAAAGATGTATAACCCTAGGGAAGGGGAAAAAGAGAAGGCAAAGAATGTTCTGAAAAGGATACTGACTTCTAGCAGGCCCCCTAAAAATGGGCTACTTTGTTGTGATTCATTTCATGTCACACTACATTAACTCAAAAGTATAGAGTAAGAGAAAAGAATGTTTTTGTTTTTTTTTTTTTTGAGACAGAGCTTCAAGCTGTCACCCTGGGTAGAGTGCTGTGGCATCACAGCTCACAGCAACCTCTAACTCCTGGCTCAAGTGATTCTCTTGCCTCAGCCTCCCAAGTAGCTGGGACTACAAGTGCCTGTCACGATGCCCAGCTATTTTTGATTGCAGCTGTCATTGTTGTTTGGCGGGTCTAGGATGGATTTGAACCCACCATCTCAGGTGTATGTGGCTGGCGCCTTAGCCGATTGAGCCACAGGTGCTGGGCCAAGAGAAAAGAATGTTTTTTAAGACTCTTAACACCGTCAAATATGGCTGACTTCAAATTCTTTACTGAATTCCTATGGCTTGGCTGCTAGTTAATAATCAGGATGCCAAATTTTTAATTTTTTTTTTTTTTGAGACACAGTCTCATGCTATCAGCCTGGGTACAGTGTTGTAGGATCAGCATAGCTCATAGCAAACCTCAAACTCTTGGGCTTCAGCGATCCTCTTGCTTCAGCCTCCCACAGTACTAGGATTATGGGCATAAGTCACCATGCCTGGCCCAAATTTTAATTTTTTTTTTTTGAGACAGAGCCTAAGCTATCCCCCTGGGTTGAGTGCCATGGCATCGCAGCTCACAGCAACCTCCAACTCCTGGGCTCAAGCGAGTCTCCTGCCTCCGCCTCCCAAGTAGCTGGGAC